GTCCCATTTTCCCCTTTAAGGTGACCCTAAGGACATAGAAAAACCTCCAAGAGGCCTCAACAACCCATTAAAACAGGGGTGGGCAAACTTTTTGGCTGGGGGGGACCTCATTGACTTTTAAAATTTGACAGACGGGCCGCCACCTGGTGTCGAAATGCCTGTCATTACAAGTCAAAATCAAACGAATGCAATCATTCAATCATTCACATCAAACCTTAATTCTGTACCAATCTTCGGCGGGCCGGATTAAAAAGACCAACGGGCCGGATGTGGCCCGCGGGCCGTAGTTTTCCCGCCCCTGCACTAAAAGGATGCAAATGACTTAACTGTCTTGCAAGGAATACAAATCCTTCCATTCCCCACCATCCGGTCAGAACGGATGGAGCTTCTTGGATGAGAAGCGAAACGATTTCAAAGAAAAAAGCAGAAAGTCCAGTTGCCTCTTGAAAAAGCACCTTTGGGTCGCCTGGCTAGTGTTGAGCATTTGGGCTTTACAGACCCACAAGAACACTGTGTGTGTGTGTGTGTGTCACATAGTTTCTCTTGGTTCTTGAATGAGATCAAGCTTTGAGACTCAAGAGTGTGGAGAGGGAGACTGATTTCACGTGATGTGCGTTACACACCAAGCCAGGTGGTGACCTTTCCTCGATCTGGTTACATGATGGGCTGAATACTTCATCAGGTTTGGGGAGTTGTTCCGGTTAATTTGAGGGTCCTGGGTGCTGTCTGGGATTAGCGGTTTACATGCAGACGTTTCATTACCCAACTAGGTGACATCATCAGGCCTAGAAGGGAGATGGGTTTACAGAGAGGAGGAGGGCGAAGAGGAGAAGAAAGAAGGCGATAGAGAAAGGAGAAAGAGGAGGAGGACTGTGGGATTCTTGGTGCTCTCGGAGTTTGGTCGTTTTCGTGCAGATGTTTTATTACCCAACTAAGTAATATCATCAGGGCTCGAAGGGAGTGGGGTTTCTGGAGAAGGGGGAGGGGAAGGAATATGGGATCCTTGGTGCTCTCTGAGCTTGGCGGTTTTCTTGCAGACATTTCATGACCCAACTAGGTAACATCATCAGTGTTAGAATGGAGTAGGGTTTGACCTCTCGTTATACAGATGTGGCTTACTCTTTCAGTGTTGGTGGGAGTCTTTTTAGTAGTTCCTCGATTAGGCTATTTGGCTATTCGTGTGAGTTGGGTGTTCCTTGATTGGTGCTGCTTGATTGTTGGTATTAATTCTGGCGTTAATCTCTGCTTGTTGTTGGTTGCTGGTAATAGAGGCCTGTTGGTCTTTTTATTTCCTTGTTAGCCTTTGTTCGTCTGTTTTGAATGGTGTGAAGATGTTGCTTATCTCTAGATCCCTGTTAATGGCTGATTTTTTTTTGGCCACCCGATTTGGTTGTGAACAGACGCATTCGCGACCCAAGGTTCCTATGTACGTGTGTGTATACATATGTGTGTGTGTGTGTGTGTGTATATGAATGACAATATATTTATAAATCTGCCATATATCAAAAAAACCAGAACCACAGCTTTTTACTACTGTGCTTCCTGGAAAGCATAAACGGTGCTTCGTAGCATTATTTTCCACAAGGAGAAGCAGCTTACACAGCCCTTAGAAAGTGAAGTTAATCATAAATAATGTGCCTGTAAACAGGGCACGAAATGAGTGGATCAGAATTAATAGAACCTGAAATTAACTCTCTTCTGATATCATTTTCTGTTTTGGAGACATTTGTTTACCTTTTATCTGAGACTCAACCACTTGCTGCAATTTGCTTTCAAGTAAACATGTTTTTGTTGTCGTCTAGGTCTTGCTCATTTTAGCTTAGCCGGTGTTAGAATGTTGTTATTATGTTCTGAGTCAACCTTGATTTTTTCCCCCCCTTGGTGAATTTTTTTTTTAGAAGTGGATTCCCATTGCATTCTTCCTAGGGCTGAGTAGGACAGGCTGGCCGAAACCTCTCAGTCTAGGGCAGGACTATAACCCAAGATCTCTCAGTGCTATTAAAAAATTGCTCTAATTGTAAATACCAAAAACAAAGTTCCGATATCTCAGGTTGTAAATGCATTTGCAAATCATACCTATTCCCTTTACTGTAGCAATTCTGAAAATAACCCTTTTTATTTTAAAGTATAAATTCTATGTGATGTTTAATATACCGGGTTTTTTTTTGCAGCTGGAATAATTTCCCTTCTGGATGAGGAAGAGCCAGAACTCAAGGTGAGTGTGGAGGCTGTCTGTCTTGACTTCAGAATAAAAGTATTCCGGGATCTGAATGCTGACAAAACAATATTTTTAAAATGATCGTTTCGAGTGTTATATTTTTACCGACTCAAGAGCTTGAAACTGCTATCTTCAAGACTGTGTACAGGTAGTCCTCGGCGTACGACCACCAAACTTGGAGGCCCAAATTTTAGTTGCCAAAAGGGAGAAATTTGTTAAGGTAGTTTAGTCCCATTTTACGACTTTTCTCCCCCACAGTTGTTAAGTGAATCACTGCAGTTGTTAAAACTACTAGCACGGTCATTAAGTGAATCTGACCTCCTCATTGATTTGGCTTGTCAGAAGGTCATAAAAAGGGGATCGATCCCATGAGCCCGGGACATGGCAACCGTCATAAATACGAGACAGCTTCCAAGTGTCTTCATTTTGATCACAAGACTGAGGGGGGATTGCGATGACCTGGAGTCTATCAAAAATATAACTAAAACCAAAATGTAAATAAAGGTCCTTTAATGCCTTCAACTTGGCTTCACTGTTTAATTGTTCACAGTGGAAGATTAAACTATTTTCAAAATAGCATTCCAAACGAAAAAAATACAGTCCAAATTCAAAGAGCAGATAGCGAAGCAAAAACCAAAAGCAAACCGCGCTGAAGAAAGTTCCACGATAGACCAGAATAAATAATTACAAACTTCAGGAAGATAACCAGGTACAATCTGTTGGAAGAACGCCAACCAAGATAAACCTCCTTTAGGAATAAAACACTAATTTGTCTCCAGCGTTTGTTAGCACGCAGGTCCAAACTCTTATGCAGATATCACACCTGCCACCCATGAAGGGGATCATGGCCCTCTCCTCCTGAATAGACCACGTTTTTCCCTGATCCTCTCCTCCCTGCGTGCCCCTAGGATGGAGAGGGGATGGGCCTGGGTCCTCCTCTGACTGCTCAGCCGGCCTCTGCCCTTCCCCAGCCTCCTCCACCACCTCCGGAGCCACCCTTCCACTCTCTGTCGGCTGTTCCTCCTCTCCCTCGGAGTCAGTCTCCACCAGGGGCAGGACAGGGATCCTGCAATGGTCGTAAGTGTGAAAAACGACCATAACTCACTTTTTTCAGGGCCGTTGCAGCTTCAAACAGTTACTAAACAAACTGTTGTAAGCCGAGGTATTACCTGGATTATTAAGAAATTTGAGAGGGGTTATTTTGTCCACCCTCTTTGGAAAGCACAAGGCTGCCTGTAACGAAATGCAGTTCATTCCACGGTGGGTCTTGCTCTTTTGCCCTTCCAGCTACTTGCTAGACAGGTGTGTTGGTTGAAGTCTAAATGAAAGTCTAAATGCAGTGGTTTTTGTTCTTTTCACAGGAATTTGCTCTCCACAAGCTGAACGCAGTTGTCAATGATTTCTGGGCTGAGATCTCTGAATCGGTGGATAAAATGTAAGAGGGAAGACCTCAAATTCATTTGAAAGCGTGAGCTAAAACAGGGGTCGCCAACCTTTTGGACCTCAGGGACCACGAAACTCATCATTTTAAATCCCACGGAACAGAGACCCTGGGAAAATCCCCCAAAAAAGTCTGCAGGAAAATTCCCTCACACCGTTTTCCTACCGATCAATCGTTCTTTATTTGGGATTGCAGGATATCGTCTCCAGCTCCCTTCTCAGAGGGAGAGAGACTTTTGGCTTCATGCAAGGAAAGCAGCCAAAAGCAGAAGAAAGAAGCCGAAAGAAGGAGCCTGGTGGCCAGGCCAGGCGTGTGGGGCAAGTCTCCCCCTCCGCCCTTTCCCCCGCCGCCTTGTGTTGTTCGCAATGCAAGTGACACAAACCTTGTGTTCCCGCGGGCCATGGGGGTGGCGCAGCCTTGTGTTCCTAACACAGCCTGGGTTAATTACTTTGGGGGTGACATTTCTCTGAGGACCACCAAAATTTTCCCGTGGTCCCCGGCCCACTGGTTGGCGACCACTGAGCTAAAATATATCTTGTCACTTATCTGAGGTCACTTTTTTGAGCTGCTAATTTCAGCACTAAAGAAAAACGCTTACGTTCACCATAGGGCTGCAGCGAACCAACCATTTCTTCTTTCCTCCTCTTCCTCTCTTTCCCCCCCCCCCTCCCCCCCCCACAGTGAAATTCTGTATGAAGATGTTGGGTTTCGTAGTCGGGAATTTGCCGCCTTGGTGGCTTCCAAAGTGTTCTATCACTTAGGGGCTTTCGAAGAATCCCTGAATTATGCCCTGGGAGCTGGCAACCTTTTCAACGTCAATGACAATTCCGAATATGTAGAAACCATTATCGGTAAGTTTGTGCACCGGAAAACTGGAAAATGCTTGTCCCGGTTTTCCAAATTCAATGGCCTGTGCAAAAATTTTACAAAGTTCCGTGGTGCGTAGAATGAGGACCCAGATTGTTGGGGGCAAGAGGCTGACTCTGTAAACCGCTTAGAGAGGGTTGGAAATCATTGGGAAGTGGTGTATAAGTCTAAGTGCTATTCCTTCCTTCCTTCCTTCCTTCCTTCCTTCCTTCCTTCCTTCCATCCATCCATCCATCCATCCATCCATCCATGGTGGCATTGTGGTTAGGATGTAGCTTTGGAAGCTTATTCTGTCCACAGCCAGGAGTTCAATCCTGACCAGCTCAAGGTTGACTCAGCCTTCTGTCCTTCCCAGGTCGGTAAAATGAGGACCCAGATTGTTGGGGGACAATATGCTGACTCTGCAAGCCACATAGAGAGGGCTGGAAAGCACTGTGAAGGGGTATATATGTCTAAGTGCTATTGCTATTGCTATCCCCCATCCTGAGGTCTATCATAACTTCATATAGTTGTTAAGCAGCCTGTCATAAGTTAAGGACTATCTGCACAGGGTTTTTTTGCTCAGATGGCTTCCTTCCTTCCTTCCTTCCTTCCTTCCTTCCTTCCTTCCTTCCTTCCTTCCTTCCTTCCTTCCTTCCTTCCTGTCCTGTCCTGTCCTGTCCTGTCCTGTCCTTTCCTTTCCTTTCCTTTCCTTTCCTTTCCTTTCCTTTCCTTTCTTTCCTTTCTTTCTTTCTCTCTCCCTCCCTCCCTCCCTCCCTCCCTTCCTTCTTTCTGCTTTGGAAAATAGCTTGACAACCTTCCTCCTCTCTGGGGCAGCCCCTCAAACATTGGAAGATGCTCTCCTGTCTCCCCTGGTTCTTCTCTTTACTAGACTAGCCAGGCCCAGTTCCTGCAACTGTTCTCTGTATGTTTTAATCTCCAGTCCCCTCATCATCCTGGTTGCTCTTCTCTGCACTTTTTCTAGAGTCTCAACCTCTTTTTTACATCTTTTCTTTGTGGGAAGCCCTGAGATATTGGAAGACTGCTATTACGTCACCCCATCTTTTTTAAAACTAGACATGTCTACTGTCCATCCATGCTTTGCTCAGATGTCTTTTTCTTTCTTTCTTTCTTTCTTTCTTTCTTTCTTTCTTTCTTTCTTTCTTTCTTTCTTTCTTTCTTTCTTTCTTTCTCTCTTTCTCTCCCTCCCTCCCTCCCTCCCTTCCTTCCTTCCTTCCTTCCGCTTTGGAGAATAGCTGGACCCACCTCCTCTCTGGGGCAGCCCCTCCAATATTGGAAGGCTGCTCTCCTGTCTCCCCTGGTCCTTCTCTTCCCTAGACCAGCCAGGCCCGGTTCCTGCAACCGTTCTTCATGTTTTAGTCTCCTCATTATCCAGGTTGCTCTTCTCTGCACTTTTTCTAAAGTCTCAACATCTTTTTTTTTATTGTGTGGTGACCAAAACTGGATGCAGGACTCTAGGTGTGTCCTTACTGCTGTAGATTAACAGGCATGTTTTGTCCTTTACAACGGAGTCTATCGCTATTAGAAAAGCTTACCGGATACATTGCTTTCCTCAGCAAAATGCATCGATCACTACACCAAGCAGTGTGTGGAAAACGCAGACTTGGCGGAAGGGGCCCAGAAAGCCGTGGACCCCCGCTTGGAAGGGATCGTGAACAAGATGTTCCAGCGCTGCTTAGACGATCACAAGTACAAGCAGGCCATCGGCATTGCCTTGGAGACCCGCCGGCTGGACATTTTTGAGAAAACCATTTTGGAATCGGTAGGTGAAGGCGGGACGTTGGGAAGAATCGTTGGGTAGGATACGCGTATCGTTTTGAGCGCATTGCGTTCTTCGTTTATGCAAATTGTATAGCCACCTGTGGTGACCCGGGGAGCAGCACATACGTGATAACTTCCCAAACGTAAATAAATTTCCTTTGATGCCTCCAACTTGGCCCCACTGTTCAGTTGTTCTCAGCTGGAGATTAAACTCTTTCCAAAATAGTCTCCAAAAGAAAGAATTACAATCCAAATTCAAAAACAGATAACGGAGAAATATATAAATAAATAAAAAAACCCGCACTGCAGGAATTTCCACGACAGACCAGGATAATTAATTACAAACTTCAAGAAGATAACAAGGCACAGTCCATTGGAAGAACGCCAACCAAGATAAACCTCCGCCAGAAATAAAACACACTTTGCTTCTAGCAACGCTGTGTTTTAAACGCCCCTCCTTTATACTATTCCCCCCAGCTGCAGCCAATGAGGGGGATCATGGCCGCGTCCTCCCCCGTAAGCCACGTTGTTCCCTTCTCCATTCCTCCCTGCGTGCCCTAGGATGAAGAAGGGATGGGGCTGAGTCTTCCTCTGCCCTTCCACAGCCTCCTCCACAACCTACCGAGCCACACTTCCACTCCCTCTCGGCTGTTCTTCCTCCCCCTCGGAGTCAGTCTTCAACAGGGGCATGACACCACCTGTGTCAACTCATAAAAATATTTCTATGGTCTTTTTAGAGTTGCCAACAGAAAGTGGGGAGTGGGTAGAGAGAAGCGCAGCAGCTTGCAAACCAAAACTGCATTCCATAAATGTTTTCAAAGAGAGTAACTAGGTGACCGAAGTTTCTGCCACGCAAAATTCTTAACTGGAGAACATGATTGATGACTCTGGGCTATGGATGCATCCCGTTGGAGAATATGAATTAGGATATACCCAGGGGGTGGGGGAAAACTAGGGTCAAGGGTGACAAGGGATGATGTGCCTCAGAGTCGGCTACACCCAGGCAGTGCTGGACATGTTAACTCTCAATAAATCCTTTTTTAAGTTTTGGAAATTTGGTTGGAGACTCATGATTTAACTGGTGTGGGGGTGACTGCCAGAATCCTGACAGCCTGTGTCTCTGGACAGCAGACAGAAGGAAAAATAAACAGTGTTATTACCAGTCCAAAACAGTCTATGGAGACTCTCGGTCATCCAGGTCGTGGTTGCCCCCATGGTGCTTTTTCAAAAGGCAATTGGACTTTCTGGTTTTTCTTTGAAGACATTTCACTTCTCATCGAAGAAGCTTGACTGGATGGGGAGGAATGGAAGGATTCATACTCCCTGAAGACAGCTGGTCATTTGCATTCTTTTTAGAGGGTGGTTGAGGCCACTTGGAGTTTTATTCCTGTCCTCAGGGTCATCTTGAGTAGTTGCAACCGGGCGTGGAGCCTTCTTGGAGCTGCTGAAAGGACAGTTGTAGAGTGGGGATAGATGATGATGTATCCCTCCCCCTCTCTTGAGAGAAGGCGGTCAATTTTAACATAGATGTCCTTTTTGACCCCTCTTTCAAACCTCCAAGTGGCCTCAACGACTCTCTAAGAAGGCAAACGACCAGCTGTCTGCAAGGAATACCAGCTGATTTTCGGCCTCCCAGAGGCTCGAGGGAAGCCTCTGCAGCCTTTGAAAGCCGAAAAACTGTCCCGTTTCTGGAAATACCAGACGTGACGAAACGGGCCCATTTTTCGGCCTCCAAAGGCTGCAGAGGCTTCCCTCGAGCCTCTGGGAGGCCCAAAAAGGCCTCAAATGGCCCGAAAATCAGCTGGGAGGCACGCACATGCGCAGTGCAGGTAAGTTTGACTGGGGATCGCGCGGCCGCACAAATGGCTCCGTGCGCCACCTGTGCCACCGGTTCGCCCTCACGGATCTAATTGCTACATTGGTAATTTTGCCGTAGGATTTATTACCCGAAGCCATTTTGGATTGTCTTTCTTGACTGATCTTCTTGACTCATTTCATCTTTTCTCATGTTTCTCCAGGACGAAAGATAAAAGTTCAAAGAAAAGAGATTGGTCAAATGTTGCTTTAAACGTATTAACCATCGGAGACAAATAATGTGACTTTTATTTTTATTTTTTTTTTTGGTTTTGACAGAACGATGTTCCAGGCATGCTGGCCTACAGCTTGAAGCTTTGCATGTCCTTGATGCAAAATAAGCAGTTCCGCAATCAAGTTTTGAGAGTTTTGGTGAAAATTTACATGAACTTGGAGAAGCCTGATTTCATCAACGTGTGCCAGGTGGGTTGTGTAGATGCTTGTGCAGAGATGAGGGGTGGGTGAGCTAGAGCAGTGGTTGCCAACCAGTGGGCTGGGGGGACCACTGGTGGTCCGTGAGAAAATTTTGGGGGTCTGCAGAGAAATGCCCCCCACCCCCAAAGCAATTAATCCAGGCTGCGCGGGAACACAAGGCTTGCGTCATTTGCATTGCGAATAACACAAGGTAGTGAGGGGAAGGGGGGAAAAGGGGGAGGGAAGGAACTCACCCCACGCGCCTGGCCTGGCCACCGGGCTGCTTCTTTCCGCTTCTTTCTTCTTCTGCTTTTGGCTGCATGCAAGGAAAGCAGCCAAAGTCTTTCTTTCTCTCCCCCAAACTCTGCCAGAAATGAGTCTTTGGGACCCTGCAAGGCCTCCTGCTCCAAGAGGCTGCGCCGGCAAAGACTCCTTTCTGGTGAAGTTTGGGGGAGAGAAAGAAAGACTTCTGCGGCTTCTGCTGCTTTCCTTGCATGAAGCCAAAAGTCTCTCTCTTTATTTCCCCCCCACCCGCAAGAACAGAGCTGGAGACGGCATCCTGCGATCTCAAATAAAGAATGATCAATCAATAGGAAAATGGGGTGGGGGATTTTCCTGCAGACTTTTGGGGGGGATTTTCCCAGGGTTTCTGATCCACAAGATTTAAAATGATTGAGTTTGGTGGTCCCTGAGATCCAAAAAGTTGGCGACCCCTGAGCTAGAGGTTGCTCAGATAATGTCATTGGGCATATCGGTAGGGCTCGACATATGACCGCAGTTGAGCCCAAAATGTCCACTGGTAAGAAAAACCGTTGTTAGATGAGTTTTGCCCCCATTTTATTTCCTGGCCACGTTTATTAAGTGGATTGCTGCAGTTGTTAAATGAGGAACCTGGTTATTAAGTGAGTCTGGCTTCTCCTTTGACTTTGCTTGTCAAAAGGTTGCAAAAGGGGATCCTAGGACATTGCAACTGTCATAAATACGAGTTAGTTGCCAAGGGTCTGGATTTTAGTCACGTGACCACAGAGTTACGAGAACGGCTGTCAGCGTGAAAAAAAAAAAGTCATCCGTCACTTTTTTCAGCGCCATTGTAACTTCAAACGGTCGCTAAATGGTTGTAAGTGGAGGGCTACCTGTAATAATACAGCAAAAACCTACTTGGGATATTTATATTCTCAATATTCTCAGCTTCTCAAAGGTTAGATTGAGGGCTATGTTTTAGTAGTGGGCACAACCATTATTTAAAGGCCCTGAATTTAGGTATAGTGGATATAGGTGGGTCCTTGCCTCTTAATTCCTGCCCATGCCCCAAATGATAGCAAGACAGATGGATATAGATGAGAGGAGGGAAAGAGAGAGGAAGGGAGGGAGTGGGGGAGAGAGAGAAAGAGAGAATATGAGAATATGGATGGTTGTAGACAGAGATAGGGATGCGGTGACTCAGTGGCTAAGACGCTGAGCTTGTCAATCAGAAAGGTCAGCAATTAGGCGGTTCGAATCCCTAGCGCCGCGTAAAGGAGTGAGCTCCCGTTGCTTGTCCCAGCTTCTGCCAACCTAGCAGTTCGAAAGCACGTAAAAAAATGCAAGTAGAAAAATAGGAACCACCCTCAATGGAACTTCCATCTGCTATCCATGTTTCTCCAAAAATAAGGCCCAGTGATTCATTCTCTCTCTCTCTCTCTCTCTCTCTCTCTCTCTCTCTCTCTCTCTCT